CGCCTTCCTTTGCTATAATTTGATAAACTGCCTCTATTTCTATCATCTACTGTCATTTTTAAGAATGGTAAATCATTTTGGAAATAGATGGATTTTAAATAATGCATGAAGAAATGAAGTAAAAAATAACAAAAGGACTTGACTTAAGCCACTAGAAAGGTTCACAGTTTGTGTTATGAAGCTTTACATCCAAATTGCTTTTCACCTGCCAGATGATCTTGTCATGGAGGATTTTCTTGCTCTCTCCGGTTTTCTTTTTCGAGTTTCTTGTGTTTGCCTATACGGTCCAGTGGAGATTTCTGTTCCCTGAGCCATTTGACAGTTGAACTAATCTAGTCAAAAGAGATGCTAGTCCTTATTGTCTTTTTTGAGTAACATTTATATTCTGTTGGCAAGATATAAAACGTAGTGTCCTCGTGCTCCTCACTGAGGGTGAAATGATACAGGCCATTCAAGTCACCACAGCTAGCCGTGATCGCCCCTCAGCCTGCCAGGATGGACTCCATGACAAACTGGAAATTTTCTTTAAAAATTTTCCCAGCCAGGGACCAGCAGTTAGCATAATGGCTATGTCACTGGACTCCCATGTAGTCAAACGCGATTCAAATCCCAGACCCGGTGGCTTAAAACTCACACCGGGTGTGTGCATGTGTGCCCAAGATCCTGAGAGGAGAACGGAGGAGAGGGGATTGCGGTGTGGCCATCTCCCCTGGGGGGTGATTTCTCCCTTTCTATCTCCCTGTCACCCTCTGGTGAGCGCATGTGCCCTATAGCAAAAACCTCTCCAAAAAAAAAAATGAAAGGGAAGAGATGAAATTGTGGCATAACCATGCTCCATTGGGGCGCTTTCTCTCTTTTTGTCTCTCTGGTGAGTACACATACCCTTTGGCAATAATTTTTTAAAAATAATTATTGTATTTTATTTGTTATTATTATTTTTTAATTTGACCAGAGAGAGAGAAAGGGGAAGCAAGAAAGGAAGCTGCCAGGTCTGGGACTCAAATCACAGTCAGCCATGTGGGAGTCCAGCATCTTAAGTACCATATAACCTGTTGACCTCACTAATAAAAATTTTAAAAGTTAAAAAAAGTCTTTTTAAAGACTCTCCAAGATGTCCCACAGATTAAATGTAATCCCTGTAATAACAATATTGTTGTTTGCAGAAATGGAAAACCAAATCCCAAAATTCATACAGAATATTATGGGACTGGAAAAGTCAGAACAATTTTGAAAAGAATAGTTAAGTTAAAGGACTCATAATTCCCAGATTCGGAACTTATTACAAAGATATTGTAAGCAAAACAGTGTGGGTTCATAAACTCGTATTTCAATCGTCAATTGATTTTTGACCATGGTGCTAAGACCATTGAATGGGGAACATGGTATTTTCTGCAACAAAGGTTTCAGGACAAATGCATATCTACCTGTAAAAGAATGAAACTGAGGGGTCCAGCAGGTGGCATAGTGAGGGAGAAACTGCACTCCCACATGGCTGACCATGTTTTGAGCACTGGATCTGGCAGCTTAAAAATCATACTGGGCCCATGTGTGTTTGTGCCCCAAATCCCACTGCAGTGTGGCCATCCTGCCTGGGTGGTGATTTCTCACATTCCCTCATCCAGCAAGCACATGCCCCCGATGGCAAAAAACAACAAAACAAAGAACCCTGAATCTTTATCCCACACTGTATACAAAAAGTAACACAGAATGGATCAAAGACTGAAATGGGAGAGTTAAAACTATAAGAAAATCTTCATTTCCTTGGCTTTTACAATATTTTTTTTTTTTTTTAAAACTATGACAACAAAGGTACAAGCAACAACAAAATAAACTAGATTGATTAAAATGAAAAACTCTTGTGCATCAAAGGACACTAGAAAGAGAGTGAAAATATAACCCAAAGAGTGGAAAAATTATTTGTAAATCATATCTTTGTTAAGAGTCTAGAGTCCAAAAATGTGTGTGTGTGTATATATATATAAAAGCAAGAAATCACCCCCAGGGGGGATGGCCACGCCGCAATCCCTTCTCCTCTATTCTCCTCTCGGGATCCTGGACACGCATGCACACATGCCCGGTGTGAGTTTAAGCCACCAGGTCTGGGACTTGAACTGTGGTTGACTACATGGGAGTCCAGTGACACAGCCATTACGCTAACTGCTGGTCCCACAAACTCCAATTTCTAAAAGAGCAAGAGATATTTCTTCAAAGAAAATATACACTTGAGTAATAAGAATGTGAAAAGATGCTAAATGCTATTAGTCATTAGAGAGATATAAATTAATACCATCATTTTATACCCATTGGGATGGATGCTATAATTAAAAAAAAAGTATTGAGGGTGCAGAGAAACTGAAACCTTCATAGCATAATTCATAGAATACAATGTAAAATTGTGGGGCTGGCAGGTGGTATAGTAGTTAAGGCACTGGACTCCCACATGGCTGACCACAGTTTGAGTCCTGGACCAGGCAGCTTGCTTTCTCTTTCTCTCTGTTCAAATTTAATAATAATTATAGTAAGTAAAATTAATGGGTGGTATGAAGGTTAAGGTGACTGGACCTCACATGGCCGAATGTGCAGTTCAAGTTTCAGACCTGGCAGCTTGAGAAACATGCTGGATGTGTTTGCGCATTTTCCCCAAATCCTGAGAGAATAGAGGAAAAGGAATTGCAGTGTGGTCATCCCCTGGCAAATGATTTTCTCTCTCTCTCTCTTTCCTGTGCATGCATGTGCCCTAAAGCAAAAAACATGTTTTAGTAAATAAATAAAATGGTGTAGTAGCTGTGAAAAATTTTAACAGTTCCTCAATGAATTAAGCAGAATTCATGTAACTGAGCATCTAACTCCTAGCTGTATACCTAAAATAACTGAAACAGGCGTTCAAACTAAAACTTGTACGTGAATGCTTACAGGCACTTTATTCATAATAATCAAAAGGTGGAAGCAACCCAAATGCCCGTCAACAGATGAATGGATAAACAATGTGTGGTGTACCATATGGAATATTATTCAGCTATAAAAGGGAAAGGGGACCAGCAGGTGGCGTGGTGATCAAGGTGCTGGACTCTCACATGGCCGACCACGGTTCTAGTCCTGGACCTGGTGGCTTGCTTTCTCACTTTCCCTCTCTCTGCATGTCTCTCTCTGGTCAAATTAAAATAAATAAATGAATAAATAAAATAAAATTTTTAAAAATTATTAGAAAAATAAAAAAAGAGAATGAAGCACTGATAGATGCTACAACATGGATGAACCCTGAAGACGTGCTAACAGAAAGAAATTCCATGCAAAGGACTATGTGATTCCATTTATATGAAACATCCAGAATAGGCCATTTTTTTAAGGACAGATAATAAATCAGCGGCTGTCAGCAGCTGGTGTGGGGGAAACAGAGCGACTGCAAATAAGCAGTCCTTTTTTGAGATAGTAAAAATGTTCTAAAATCATGGTGATGGCTGCCCAACTTGGAGTATGAGGGGACTTCAAAATGTTTGTGGAAAGTAGAAAGTATGAGTTTATATTGGTGCAAAAAATTTGAAATTCACGTGCAGTCTTTTCATAATATGTATTTTCTATGAACTTTTTTGAGATTTCTCATATGTGAAAAAAATCACTGAATTACACAGTAATAGTTTTAATGAATTAATTATGTGGTATGTGAATTGTATCTCAATAAAACTACCCCAAACAGTTGTGAAAAAGAGAGAGGGAGGGAGGGAGGAAAAGAAGGGGAGGGTTGGACTCCTTCAGTCCTTTCAGATCTCATGGCAGGCCCGTGTCCTCACACACTGTAGTGCGGGAAAACCTCCCAGTCTGAACGGTCCTCAGAACAGCCCCTGCTGGTTATCTTGCAGCAGCAGCTGTCACTTCCCTGAGTTTCTTACAGCACGCTGTCCATGTCAAGCAGGGTTTGTGGCTATCTGGGGCTGTGTCCCACCCACTTGCATTTTGGGATTGAAGGTGATACTTTGTCACCCACTTTCTATGTAAACTTTGTCCATGGCTTTTAGTTTTGCTTGCAAGTTGCTGTTTTAATGTGGAGATTCAGATAGTTCCAAATATTCTCCTGTCTTCTCTGCTACCATCTCCCCAGAATTCCTGTAGAAGAGCTTTTTGTAAAATAAGCTTTGTAAAATACCCCTTTTTGATATGAGCTTCACATTTTCTTTTTTTCATTTACCTTTGTCTTTTGTTATTTCTTTCTTTTTTCTTTATGATGACAGAATGGATGAGAATACTCAGTAGACAAAGAGGATGAGAAAGAGAGCGAGCAAGAGAAAGTAGAGGGAAAAAGTACTCTTAACACTGTCTTGCTTGCTACAGCACAATCCTTGTGACCTTTGTCCCCATCCCTCCTCAGAATGTTGAGCACTGAGCACCTATCAAGTGTGTTTTCAGGACAGCCAAGGGATCCAAACCTGTGTTTAGCATGTGGCTTCCAGCATGGCAGTCCAGCATGCTGTGGACTCTGCTGCCATGGCTGGGACACTCCTTTATTAAGTATTTGAGCAGCTTGCATGGGTGACTAGAGAGGAAGATACGGGGGAGGGTGCTGTGCAGCCCGCATGCTGCCTTGTGTAGGAGCTGGTGGCAGCACTTCTAATTGCTCAGGCAATTCATCCATCCCTCTGTTCCAACAGCTCTGAGACTCTATAAAATTATTAGATGCTCTCAGGTTGTTATTAATATTTTCTCCTGGGTTTCAATGATGCAATCTAGTTCAACTATCGCTCAGAAAATATTGCTATGGGAACCCCTCTGGCATGTAAAGCAGTTATCTAAAGTTGAAAAAAAAAGAAGTTGGACTAAAAAATCGAGTACTCCAACCATTTATGCCCAAAAGGCACTGGAAAGGACTGAGGAAAACTCACAAATGTCGGTCCCTTACTGTGCTCCACCTACTGCTGATGAGAGGGTGTGCTCGCCCTGCTATCCCCAGAGGACAATTCTTCCAAGGAAGGCATGTTGGTGAATTTAATTCCTCGCCACATTGGAAGTTTGCTGAATAGTCTATGAGACTGTCAGAAGTTTAATTTGAGGTCAAAACGAACTTGCTTTAAAGAGTCTTCAAGTCTGATGGAGTTCCATTAATATTTAAGCCCAAGTTTCCATTGCAGTGAAACCGTGTTCCCTTCAGAAGCCCAGTCTTTCACAGTGTCTCTCTTGCAAGTGGTGGCAAGAATCCCAAGAAACGTGCACATGTACAAAAAGTCCTTTAACTGGAAATGAAGGAAAGATGCTAGTTAGTTTCCTATTGCTAACGAATTACCACAAACTTAGTGTCATAAAGCAACACAAGTTTATCTTATAATTATTGGAAGTCTGAACTGGGTCCCCTGAGCTAAATCAGAATGTCAGGAAAGCTGGTTTCTCTCTGGAGGCTCTGAGGGAGAATCTGTCTATACTCTGCTTCTTGGGCTCATGGCTCTTCCTCCTTTCAAGGCCAGTGCAGAAAGAAGGAATCAATCCCTCTGCAATTCCCAACCTCTGCTTCTGTTGTCACATCACACTCTCAGACTCTCACCCTCTTCCCTCCCATAAGGACCCTTGAGAATTATAGTGGGCCCACCTGGATAACTCAGGATCATCCCATGTTAAAACCATTAACTTCATCATATTTGCAAAGTTCTTTTGTTATTAAAGGTAACACAGTTATGGTTTTGGGGAATTACGATGAGGAGATAAGGGAGGGGCCACTGTTCGGCCTCACTGCAGACACCATAGCTCTCAGGTGCACCAACGCCAGCCAGAAAGCCTCCAGGGGCTGATTCCAGGGGAGTGAGAATGCTACTCCTTAAAGCCAAAGATACTAAGAGTGGCTCTTATGAAACAAATCTTAAGTACCATTCAGGGTGAGGAAGAGGCCTTACAGGAAAGTGTCATATGCTGAATTCATTACTCACCTGCCAGCATTCTGTGTAACTTTGCTTCATCAAGTACCCTCATTATTTCTTTTTCATCTTCAATCTCTCCTCCTTTGAACTCTTCTTTCTTTTAGACCAGGGATATGCCTGTCTTCCATCCTAAAAATAACTGAACAACACTACTTTCCCAGGCCACTTCAGTTGCTGACTGAAAGAAGCTGGCAGCTCAAAAGCTATTTTTGAAGAGAAAAAGTAGCCAGGAAATTAGTACTTAGTTCACAGGACACCACTGCTAGGACCGGGCGCTGTGTGGCTCCTGTCTAGGAATACTGACTGCTCCTTTTGTGGAGGAAGAAGTGGCTAGAGGGTGCATAACCTTGCCAAATGAGACAGAGAGACACAGAGAGGAAGAGGGAAAAAGCGCCCCCCCCAATGGTGTGTAGCCACATTGCAATCCCTTCTCCATTTTGCCATCCTGTTGGGATTTAGAGAATGGATGCACATGCACCTGAAGTGTTTTTCAAGCTGCCAGGGCTAGGAGTTGGACTATGCAGTCAGTCACATGGGATCTGGTTCCCTTAGCTACCAAGGTACTGGGCTGACCCCTTCACTGCTTTCTTCCTGACCTTGATTACTCCACATCCAAGGTTCTGAGTGAGAGCACTGTCACACACTTAAGTTCCATCTATTTGGGGTGTTACCATATTTAGCACGCAACCTCATAATCCATACTCTAGACATCATTTCTGCTTTCCAGCCAGAAAGGAAGAAGTGACACTACAGAGAAAACATGTAAAGGTATGTGATTCCATCTTTTTAACCTACTTTTCAGAAGTTGCATATGATGCTTCTGATATTTCATTGACTAGAACTTAGTTGCATGACTACACTTAGTTGCAACCGAGATCAGACAAGGTTGTCTTATTCTGAGAGGCCAGGTGTTCCCAGAGGCTCTGAATTGAGAAAGAATGGTTTCTGGAGAACAACTAACATTTCTGTAACCCCACTAAATAAAAAAGGGGGTTGAACACCAGCTATTTTTTCTTCTTTTAAAATTTGTTATAGGGCACATGTGCTCTTGGGAGACAGAGAAAGAAAGAGAGGGAAAGTGAGAAAGCATCCCTGAGGGCGATGACTATTCCACAATTCCTTTTCCTCCATTCTCTTCTCAGGATTTTGGGCATGCATGCACATACACCCAGCATGTTTTTCAAGTTGCTGGACCTGAGACTTGAACCATGCAGTCATCCATGCAGCATCAAGCTGCCTTAACCACCATGCCACTGGCTGGGCTAAACCTGCTTTTTTTTTTTTTTTTTTTTTTTTTTTTTTTATTTATTTATTGGGAGAGGTTTTCGCTATAGTGCATGTGTGCTCGCCAGACAGAGAGAGACATAGAGACAGAAAGGGAGAAATCACCCCTCAGGGGGGATGGTCACACCGCAATCCCTTCTCCTCCATTCTCCTCTCGGGATCTTGAGCATGCACGCACACGCGCCCGGTGTGTGTTGTAAGCCACCGGGTCCAGGACGTGAACCGTGGTCCACTACGTGGGAGTCCAGCGACACAGCCATTACGCTAACTGCTGGTTCCCCCTAAACCTGCTATTTTTTATCTTTCCTAAAAATTTGAAAAAGTCCACAGTGGAATCTATGCCCGGTTATAGTCTTGGTTCTCTTCCTATTTTGGGGTTATCTGTTGCATTCTTTCTCTCTATGTCTTCCTCTCTGACTTTATTGGTTAAGGTACTCTGGTTGAAAGTAACAGAAAGGACTATGTAACTTAAGGGGGAAAAAATAGTAGGTAAGGGCCCACAGAATCAATGAGAAGGTTTGAAAAATCCAAAACCAGGCAGCACTAGAGGTTCCAAACGCAGGAAGTACTTGACAATCTCATTAGGATTCAGAGCTACAGTTAAAGAGCTTTAACTAATTTCTTCCCAATATTTACATCATAACTCCTGAAATTTTACATTGCATTGGAGAAAGTCTCATTGTTCTAGCTTTTTCTCATACCTGCACCTCCAACAGGGGAAGGGAGAGAGGGGGGAGAGGTAATTCTCTAAGAAAAATGGTTGCTTATCCAAAGGAGAAGTGGATGCTGAGTCAAAACAACAACAAAACAAAACCAAAAGACATTCTACTCCTTTCCAAAGAGTGAGCACAGAGCAATGCTTATTGTTACTGTTCTGATCTTGCCTGCTATTCCCACCTACACACACCTCACTCCTCTGCCACAAGGCCTTTTTCACTGGCCCACCGGGAACAGCTGTTATTCACGCTTTGCATGAGCTGTTCCCATTGCCTGAAATATCCTTCCATCCTTTGCTCTTCTTTACCCAAGACATTTCTACTGATGCCTCCTGTTGCTGGCTGGTGCTCACAGGGTCTGTGAGTTCCTCAGTCTGGGCCAGCTGCCCGTCCTCTGGGCTCCCATAAAGTTTTGCTCAGGACAGACCTGCTCCTATTTCTTCCTCTCTGTAGACCCGGTGTTCTGTAGGGGTAGGGACTGTGTTCCTCATCTGTGCTGCCACAGCCTCTAGCATAATGCATCACACAAAATAGCAGCTCAGTAAAGCTATGATGGATGAATGTGTGGTTCTAAATGTCTTGCTCCAATTGTCTTTTGACTTCCAGTCCTCTATCAGAAGTACCTCTGGATAGCCACTGAATTCTCAAACTCATCTTGCTCCAGATTAAGTCCCCAACTTCCTATAAGCAAACATCACTTCCTGATTTCTTCTCTGCTCAATTGCTACGTGTTGCACTTATACTCTGCTTGCTGGACATGAGGGCTACAAAGGTAAGATTCAGTCCATGTTCTCCGGGCCCTTCCCTGATCAAGGTTTCCCAACCTTTGTCTTGCTGACATTTGGGGCTGGGTAAACTGTGTAGTGGGGCTGTCCTTTGCACAGTAGGATGGTAAGCAGCAAACCTGGCCTCTACCTACTAAGAGCTGGCTGCGTCCCCCTCCTACTCATCAAAATTAAAATGTCCCCAGATATTGCTGAATGTGCCCTGCAGAGCAAAATCCACCTAAATTGTGAACCACTGGTCTAGGTTCAGACTTAAAATATCCAGAGAAAGAAAATTCAATATGAAGAAGATGTAAACACAAAGTACAGAAGTGGACTTAAGGAACTGAAATTGTGGAACTGGCTAATAAGCTAAAGGTCAGCCACATGGAATAATGAAAGGACAGCACTTTCAGAGCAGGAGAGAGGGAGTTACTCTTGTTTTGTCTTTTTATGAAAAACTGCTTTGCATTTGTTGGTTTATTTCATTCACATGATAATCCTGCAAGGCAGGAACTATTTCCAATTAGTTAGATGAGGAAAGTGAATTAACAAGATAAAGTTACTTATGCAGGGCCAAACATCAATTTCTCTGCATTTGCTACTGGCTCTGCCTTCCCATTATCTGATCTTTGTGCTCATCACACCCTGTTGTCCTCTTTGAACCATCCCTTCTTCACTCCAGCATCACTGGTTATGCCTGGAGGACAGCAGGACACAATGTCCTCCCACCTGTTCTTTCTTCCCTTCTCTGGTTGCATTTTCCCCACCTCCAGTTTCACCCTGATCCTCTCCACCCTAAGCATTAGCCAGGATAATCTGAATGCACATAGGATATGACATCTCTTCTCCATTGCAAACCAAATTCCAGTTCAAAACTTCCTGCTTGGCTTTTTCCTAGCCTTGATTCTCTGATATCCTCTGAGGTCCCTAGTCCCATCTTCCACTGCCTTTCCACAGGCAGTTGTCTCTAGGCTATTAGCAGAGCGCATTGTGATTTCTGAAGCACTTGCTGTGCTAGTTCCTACAACCCTTACAGCAGCCCACAGAGGGTAATGGTGGTATTTTACAAATGGCATTTATGAGGCCCCTAGCAAGTGACAGTGCCACAATTCATATACAGGCAGACTCCATTCCATGCTGTCCCCTATGCCGCCCCAAGTTGCCTTTTTCCTCTGCTCATGCAGCTCATGTTGCCTGAACACACTGTCCTCCCTTTCTTGATCCCCTTCTCTTTCAGTCACAGTGTCCTTCAGGACTGAGTTCTGACATCATACTGTCCCAAACCTACGCTCAAGCATTTAGCCTCAGAGTCAGTCATTTTCTCTTTGTGGGACTAAGATTTCCCTCAGATTGATCTCAACGAAAGCTTGTAGAATGAAACTAAGCAGATGCTCAAATACATGCTATTGGAATGAAGTCTAGGATGCTGCTTCTGGGTGTCTGATGGCTACAGTCGGGATGTGGTTATTCCTACTAACATTCAGGTTGAGGTTTGGTCCCAGTGAGGGACCACGGGGGTGCTGGGAGTGAAAACTTATGGGAGGTGATGAGGTCATAAAGGCTCCAGTCTTATGAATGGATTAGTCCCCTTCTCTAGGGAGGGAGTTAATTAGAGCAGGAGTGGATTAGTTACTGAGAGTGAGTTGATGAAAGAGCAAGCTCAGCTTACTCCTGGGGTCTTTCACACATGCACACTTTCTTGCCCTCTCATCATGAGATGCCACTTCCATGTTATGATGCAGCAAGAAGACCCTGGCCGGAGGCAGTCCTCCATCATGGACTTCCAGACTCTGGAATTGTGAGCTAAGGAAACCTGTGTTCTTTATAAATTACCCAGTGTTAGGTATTCTATCATAATGACAGAAAACAGACTAAGATACAGACCTTTCTCATTTTCCTCACTGAAAGTCACTCATGTAACTGTCTTTGCTGGAGCATCAGGGCTGGAAGTCAAGCCTTCTGTGCCCTGCCCCAGCATCACCAACACTGGGTTTGGGCTCAGATGCACAAGAACTTGCCAGTATCTTCTGTCTCCATATGAGGTCATGAGCAGCATTGGCGTGGAGGTAAGAAGGCAACCACAGCCCACTGTGGCCTGAGTCAAAGTGGGAAAGCAGCCTGGCTTTAGGGCTGAGCAGAAGAGCATTTCTATCCAGGCCAGGCTATTTACTAGCTACTGTATTCTCTGTTCTGATCTGCTTCTGCTTCCTCATTGTGACATCTGGATGATATTACCTCTTCTAGTCCATCCTGTTGTTAATAACAGAAAATCTTTGAGTCTGTTTAATTTATAGAGGTTTATTCAGCTCAGCATTTGGAGATCCAAGGGGTCATATCTACTGGGGTTTCTGGCAGAGTCCCAAGCATTGCATCACAAAGGTAAGAGTAGCATATAGCATCCTTGTCCATGAACCTCTGTTCTGTTCTTATTGTCTCTCCTAACCAGGAGTTAATCTTGGGGTTCTTACTGAGTAACTTTTATCCTAATTTCAGGCATTTCTTTTTCTGTTGGGAATTTCTGAACAATCCACAAGGCCTTCAATGACTTAGGCTCCAAATCCTCCTAAAGGCACTGCCTTTCAACACCACAGTCAGATTAAGTTTTTACCCTTGGAATCTTGACACAACCAAATCTTGACACATAACTTTTTTGAGGGGAAACACTGAAAACTACAGCACTATCCTATCCAGGGGTGCTGGGGGCTTAAAAGAGCTGAAATCTATAGTCCTTAGCTCTGAACCTGCCCTAGCCAGAAGGCAGACTCATTTCTCAATGTCCTCCTAAGTGGATGCTCTGAGAGTGACAGAGCCTGGCACATGTGTCCCTGCTTGTTCCCTACTCTGTCCTTTCTCCTATGTGGGAGAAACAGACACTTCTGTAGTACTTCTCTGCTAAACTACTCAGCATTGCTCCCTTGTGGAGGTGCCTCTGAGTACAACACTCCCTCCTAGTGGCAATCTCCTTTGGCTCTGACAGGTCTGAGAGGCCCTCTGCTGGGAACATTGGGAACCATGAAAAGGGCAGAGACTTCCTTAGAAAGAAGATGCCTTTTAGTAGTTTATTGGTCTAAAGCACTCCAAACCACAATTTTCTAATGGTGGGGAGAGGGCACAGAAGGCAGGTGAGTCTTAGGAAATGCCATTTTCCATGTTTCTGACCTTTCTTCCCTTTTCTACCATTCTTGCTAGTCTCAGTGCTATCATTATCCTCATTTCTAAGAGCCAACTCTGTGTATGTTATCTGTGGATACCACTCCTTCCTTTCTAGAGATGAGAATGGAGAGGGTAAACTACTTACTGAAAGCCTGCCTGACTCTAAAATCTGCTGTCCTGCAAAGCGTGATGACCCCTGTGGCCTTTTCCAGCTGAGGCTCTGTCCTGCCTCCAAAACGTCGTTTCTCCATAATCTGACCCTAGAGGAATTGAGCTTGCCACTTGTTAACATAGCCTTGCCTTAGATGTTTCAAGTCCTGGCCTTGCTCAAAATCAACCATTTCCCTGTGCTCAAGTGCAGGAAGGCTCTGAGCAAGGACAGCATGAATGGTAGCAATGAATTTGCTTATTTTACAGAGAGAGAGAAAACAAAGTATAGTGGTTATTATATCTTGGGCTTTTAGTTATGAGCAAAAGTCATACTGAGTGATTTAAGTTGAAAAGGAATTAATTGAAAGGCTTTTAGATGGCACGCAGAACTAAGCTAGAGAAACAGGCAAGATGAAGGCAGGTAGATGGAAGGCAGGGTCATGCCAAAGTCATGCCACATACAATCCATCTGAGTACATCTTTCTGGATGCTATGGTGGGAACTACTTGTTCCCAAAGGCTTGAGCCTGGACGAGGAAGCCACTTCTGTTTGTGCTTCTTGTTTTTATTCATCAATTTGATCGAGTCTGGGCAAGTGTGTCTGACTGGCTAAAAAACCCTGGTCACAGGCTAGGCCTGTGGTCTCATGGGTAAGGGAACCAGATCCCCTGTGGCTGTGGTTTGACTCCTGGCCCGGGGACTTGAAAATCAGTTTAATCTGTGCCCAAACCGAGCAGTGATGGAGTGACTGAGTCAAGAGCGTGGAAGGATCACAGGCTCAAAAGGCTCTGTATGGGATGGAGGTACATGGGCCATGCTACAGCTTGCTGCTTCTCAATGGCATTTACACACCAGCAGAGCTGTTATCCCTGGAAAACCTGGACCCATGGGTCACCTGTTTGTGGATATACATACATACTGATGTTATTCTGTGTTGAACATTTTCACTCTGTAAGGTCAGGGCAGAATATTAAGGCTATGTGTATGGATTCTAGATTGGGTGCTTCCCAATCTACCTGTGCGTGAGACTCACCCAGACCCCTCTGCCCTGCCAAAGGCATACTGAATCAGAACATCATCCACTAGAACCCAAAGATGCAGGATTTCCACACCTAGAAATATCCGTAGTATTTGTCTGTTTCTGGCACTGAGCAGGCTTTTAAGTCATGATGAATTAGAGTCAAAGGCACTTTGTTGCCTCCATTTAACCGTACCACAGCACTGATCTACCTGACAGCCCTGGTGAAGGCGTTGCAGAATCAGATCCTTCTGAGGGTCTGCCTGTTCTTCAAACTCCAGGGGAGAAAGTCTTAGTCCAAGAGGCTCAAAATGACTCAGTATTTTAGACGAGCCCCTGTACCTGCTGCTGAAGACAGCAAGTGTTTCCTATTGGATGACAAAGCAACAACAGCTCACAACACAGAGCACTTTGCAACAGGTGCTCTCCAGATTTCAACCACCTTTCAAGTAGGTACTGCTTGCTTTATCTTACTCATGAAATAGATCTAGAGAAGTTACTAACTGGCACAGCTGGAATCTGAATCCAGGCATTCTGGTTTGAGCACTCTCTCTCTCTCTCTCTCTTTTAAAGGGTATGTGCACTGACTGAGACAGAGAGAGACAAAGTGAGAAATCACCATCCCTGCCAAGGTGGAGTGAATGGCCACACCCAGTCCTTTCTCCTCCATATTCTTCTTGTGACTCTGGGCATGTTTATCAACCACACAATCGGCCACGTGGGACTCGCCTTCACCACCATGCCACCAGCTGACCTGAGCACTCACTTTTTATTTTATTTCTTTTAGATAGATTTTTGCTATAGGGTGTGTGCACTCGCTGGAGAGACAAAGTGAGAAATCATCCCCCTCCCTGGGGGGAGGAATGGCCACACCGCAATCCCTTCTCCATTCTCCTCTTGGGATTTTGGGCACACACACCTGGGGGAGCACTCGCTTTTAATCCTTGTTTTTACATTTATGAACAAACAAGATCCTCTCATGGATATCTTGAATTCAGCTTTATTTACATGAAGCTGGCTGCTTAAACTAAAACAACATAGATGTAGCAATGACTAAGCACCACTTGCAGCCCAGAGGACACAACGCCTTCTGTTTGCATACAGTAATCTGTGCGGCTCCCTGCTCATGCTGCCTCCCACCCGCATGGCTGAAGCCACTTCTCTCCCACTTGCCAAGTCTAACACCCACACCCGCCACCAGAAAGGCACAAAGCACTATCTAGTACCTGAAACCAGCTGAGTTATTACAGTAGGAGCAATCTTTCCACCTTCTGGTGTACTCCCCTCACAAAACCTCTAGGCTGGATTCATACTAGGGGGTTAACAATGACCAGAAAAATAGGGGTGCACTAGACATGCCAAGACAGGGACTGCCAGTCTGGGGCAAGCAAGTGTCTAAGAACCCAAATCCTGGAAGAACAAGTACGAGATAACAAAGCAGTCTAACATAAATACAAGACTGATGTGATTATTTAATGACACAGGAAATAACATGTTATGAAACAAGCTGGTTACAAGTAGCAGGTAGAGGATGACTTAATTCTTGGTAGAAAAAATTGAAGTATGAACATACACTCAAAAAACTACGTTATATACCAAAATATCAACAGTATTTACTTCTGTTAAATGATTAAATATTCTTCCTCTTGCTTTTGTACATTTTAAAAAACATGATTGCTTTAGAAAAGTGGAGGTACTAGACAAAGTCATTAAATGCCAGGAGTTAGGAATTCAGCAGAAAGCCAGGGGTAGAAGCAGTCAAGCCCAGAGGTAGGATTTTGTTCTTTTCTTACTGGAAGTCACCTATCAGACTATTTCGTCTACTTCTGATTTCTCAGAGGGCTTACATGTAAGACTATGAATATTAACTAGCATGACAGCAAAATAATGCCAGCAACTTTGGCTTTGAATTGCTAAAAATCATAACTATTTCGTGGTCACATTCTACACAAAACACATTAGAAATCAAATGTTCCTACAACCAAAACATCTGCCTAAATACAAACCATGTGTCTAAATCACTTTATTTTTCTGATTCTGTTCATTTTTCATTTTCACTGTGAATTTACTTTGTTTTGTGGATCTGCAACTGGTAATTTTTCTCACAGAGATACTACTATTAATGCACAGTGCGTGCTGTTGATGGCTTGGCTTTAAGTCCACTGATACCTGGCCTTGTCTTCTAAGTACTCTGCAGAGTCAGAAGGGCTTATCAAAATCTCAACCACCATGGAGAAGTGGAAGTGAGGAAGACCATCATCCTGTTTCTAAAAAAAGCCTTTGCTAAGCTACCAAATGAAGAGTGGCACAGTATTACATTATATCAGTACAAACGAGGCTCAAAACCACAACCCCCAGCTCTCCAAATTTTAAAAACTGCTACAAGACACTGTATTCAAATAACAATGACAAATAACCCATATTTCTTAAAAAACAAAACAAAAAAAACCAAGAAAAGGCTCACTGTTTGAAAATATGGAATATATGAAAGTGATGCCACCTTTAACTTCAGGTGCTTCTTAGGTATTCCCTCAGTTCCCTGCCCTTTTTATACTGTAGCATTTTCAGAAAGTGTCAAGAACTACGTGAAGGTTCAAGAAACAACTACAACCTGAAATTAAACAGTCTCTCTTCTGCATTACCACCATCCACCCAGTATACTAGGTCACCTTTTACAGCAAGTGAGAGAGTGTAACACCCTTGCCACAAAATCATCATATACCAAGAAGAGAAGGTACAAAAAGAATTATATGAAAGGACAACGTTAATTTGGGGGTGGTGGGATATTTTAACATACTGTATTATCACAAAAAAGATCAAAAAGACTCCTCACCTTCCCCTTGGACAATCAAGGAAAACTAAAATGTTTTCTATCCCAAAAGTAAGAGACTTGCTGGAAAATACAGTGCTCAGTGCTGGCAACCCAAATTAATATACAGTTTTGTTGGATCCGTCCAAATTCTAAAGGCTAAAAAAATTTCCTTTGTTAAAGCAAAAAATAAAATAATAAAAATTCATTTTAGGACAATGTTATTCAAAATAAAAAAAGGTTTCTTTTCAGTGAGAAAACTGTCTTCCATCAGATGATTTCTTGCTAATGTTTTTAAAGATTTTGGACTTCTCGACTTTCTTGGTTTTCTGGTAGCCAAATCCACCTCCGCCTCCTCTCTTTTTACGCTTGTCTGCATTGCTGTTCACATCTAAAGGTGACTGTTAAGGAAAGCAACCAACGGAGACAACGAAGTCCCATCTAACACCTACACAGACAAAAAACCAGCACGTGCACTACTGCGGCTCCACTGCAACCCAAAACATCAGTCTACAAGATCAATTTCCAGAAAATTAGGAATGCCACAATCACGGACTAAAATTAGCAGGGATAACTTTAAAGCTCAGTATAATACTTGGGTTAAATGCCCCAATGTCAAAATGAATGACTTTAATTTCATTCTAACTGATCTGGGAATGCTTAGCCAAGTGAAGAAGCTATTCTTCCTTCTACATGATTCAACTCCTACTCATTACATTAGACATTAACTCAATGACTACAAGGCGGAAGGTGACCCCAAAGATAATCCTTTAAGTCAACGCAGGACTCACTGCTGTAGTATTTATTCTATGTCTAGTATTCATTTTAGCTGGTTCAATTCCTTCTGCTGAAAATGTGGTAATAAAGCACACACAGATGGCAACAGAAGAAATCGGCAGTATCCCCTTTGCTTCACCTTGAGTAAGTTGAAAAAAATTTTTTTTTTTTTAAAAGAGAAATTTTTGCTATAGGGCACATGCGCTCACCAGAGACAGAAAGCAAGAAAACAACCCCCCCACCAAAGGAGGGATGGCTATGCTGCAATCCCTGCTCCTCCACTCCCTTGGGATTTTGGGGATGCACAGACATGAGCCTAGTGTGAGCTTAAGTCGCCAGGTCCAGGGCTTGAACCTTGGTTGACTGTGGGAGTCCAGCAACATAACCATTACACCATCTGCTGGTCCCAGTAAATTTCATTTTCTGTGGCTGAACTTACCGCTTTCCTATAGAAAACTTCTGATGGCTCTAAGACCACTACAATTCTTTGGAAAGATCCTGTTCTCTCTTCAGCGTAAGAGCATCTCATCTCTCCAAGTAGCCTAGGCAGCCGCCAGAGCCCTGTGGCTCAGTTTTCATCTGATGCAGCTACTTCCGGTTCTCACTGCCTGCCAGGTAAGTGCCTTTGTCTTTCAGGCTTAAGTCACAGACTACCTTGTCCCTAAAACCCCCATGGTGATGATCAATCTCTGCTTCCTCCAACCTACCTCTGTATCCACATGGCACAGACGAGCAGACACTGACCGGGATGAACACCCAAGCCTCCAGCCTGCAGGCAGAGTATGCACCAACCCATCGCCCACCATGTCCCTCTGTCAAGCTTTTGTCCCTTAGTTCAAGGACTTCATACCAAAGAAAAGGATACTCAGGTCAACAAAAGGAGGCACTTTGAAACCAAAGGATAAAGCAACTTGGGGCAAATTTAAGTTATTAACATTAAAGATCTGTTTCAGAGAATGGGAATCATAAGCTCGTATGTATGACTTATATGCTTCCTGGGCTGACTTATGAAGAAAGTAGTTCTTTTCAATCAATTTTTCAAGCTGAAATAGAAAGAAACATTGGTTGTAATAAAGTAGGAGAGCAGATTTCAAATATACTACAATAAAGGCACTACATGAAATAAAAACACTGTACTACACTTGCTCACTTTGGATTTCTTGCAAAATCAAGCTTCAGTAAGAACAATGCGAAGTTCTTGTAGGGCATGGATTGAAAGGGGAAGAGAGCACAGGAATCTGGTAGCCAGCACAGCAAGGAACCCTAGCATCATGTGGCCCCAACCCTCATTTCATGGAAGAGCAGACTCAAGAAGACAGTGACCGCCCACTGAAACACCACAAAGGGAGTGTTGGGCCCAGGTGATCCCTAATTCACACACCACACACACACACACACACACACACACACACACACACACACACATTTTAAAGGCATACCTGAGATTGAATGTCAGAAATTTTAGACCAGGAAAAGTCGAATTCACTTAATGGAACCTAAAAAATAAAAGTATAAAGATTACTAAAACCAGGATGATAAACATTCAGATTTTAATGATGTCTGAAGTCAAGGAAGAATGACAAGGCCTGTGGAATCTCCTTAGGTCAGAAAGCAAAACATGCTTTCTCTACTCTCCCAACATCAATGGAAAGTTTCACCTCTGCTCTGCTGAGTAAGGATCTCCATGTCCTTCTTCCTGAAAGCTAAGTTGAAGAGAACTGGACAAAAGATGGTGAGTCACTGAAGTGCTTTAAAGAATGCCTCTGATCCTGATGGTCTGGAGTACTGAAATAGTCTGAAGGTTCAGGAAAGGGGCCTTAACAGTATGTTGCCCTGTGACTGGGGTTTCTGAAACCTGAGGCCACTGTGACCATAAAAACCTACAGGAAGACTCTATTATCAGTCATCGCTTACTAGGAAAAATTCCAGACCAGTGCTGGGTGCTGAGGGTAAGAAACAGATACCCAAGTCCTGGACCTGCCCTCACAGAGCATGCGGTCTCCTAGGGGAGTTAGGTTAAGTGGTGAGATGACCACTTGATGCACACTTGCAGGGGGAACATGGAGGAGAGCTCAACTAGCTAAAGCAGGAGTGTTCTGCAGGACAAGGAAGAAAGCACTATGAAGATGTGTGCAAAGGCGGTTCCCGATAGGGCGGTAGGAAACAGAAGTGGCAAGAATGGGACATAAGACTCACTACTGAGCAACACAGCTGGAGGGCACAGCCATGTGGGTAATTCCTCTGTAGGGCAGCAGCACATAAAATCTTACCTGCTTAACTGCTGTTAACTCTTAACAACACTGCCCTGACTCAAGACTCCTTTGACATATTTGAAAATGATCCTTACTCATAATCTCTGAGAGGAAACTGTTCCCAAGGTAAGATTTTTCCAAGCAAAGATCTTTACCTTGGATTGCTTCAAGTAACGAAGGAAACCCAATTCTTCTGGGCGCAAAATGAGCAAGGCATGCCCTCTTCCATTTAGGCCTCTGGCTGTTCTACCCACACGATGAATATATTCCTTTGGAGGAGAAAGAAAAATCTGAGTGAATGAACTGACTTCGCATGAGCCCATTAGCAATATGACTGCATCTTGAGCATGTGCATGGTGTGGATGGAGGTGTGTCAGCCTGTCTGTCTCAAGATGGTGCACCTACACAATGCCTTTACTACCCTCCCACCCGCCCCGTAAAGCTGGGTCTGCACTTTCTGCACACACCATTCCAAAGGCTAACAGGCCAGTGACGGTCAAAAAGAATGGGCATGGCATTCACTTTAGTACTGAAATCTAATGAAGGTAAAAGTGTACTGTATCTTCGAAATGGCTAAAGTGTTTAAATGCTAGCTGGCAATTCATGATAACCCACTGCTGAAAATATTTCTCAATGAAGCTTATTCTACAACATACACACGCTGTCTACTCTTTTTTTTTTTTTTTTGTGAGAGATTTTCACTGTAGGGCGCGTGCGCTCGCCAGACAGACAGAGAGAGACATAGAGACAGAAAGCGAGAAATCACTCCCCAGGGGGGATGGTCACGCCGCAATCCCCTCTCCTCCATTCTCCTCTCGGGATCTTGGGCACACACGCACACGCGCCCGGCGTGAGTTTTTTAAGCCACCGGGTCCGGGACACGAACCGTGGTTGACTACGTGGGAATCCAGCGACATAGCCATTACGCTAACTGCTGGTTCCCACGCTGTCTACTCTCTTAAGCAAATGTTATTTCCTTCAAATATTTGTTGTTCTTAAAAAGACCATTCCAAGGATCTACCATTCCCAATTAAAGTCCCATAAATGCCTTTTTTTCCCCCTCGGTTTTGCTAGAGGGCATGTGTACTTACTGTATAAAAGAGGGAAAGTGAGAATCACCTCGATGGGGGTGGCTATGTAACACTCCCCTCTTACTCTTGTCTTGGAATGCCAGGCACACAAGCACATGTGCCGGGCATGCTTTCAAGCCACCTGGTCTGACACCTGAACCACGCAGTTGGCCATGTAGGATTCGCCTTAAACACCACACCAAGGTTGGCTCGAGTCCTACATGTGTCTCTTAAACATCCTTGCACATTGCCTTCAGGCTCTGCAAAACCTTATGTCCTGACTAGCAATGAAGAAATACTGCAGGGTCACCATGTAGCATAATGTTACTTGAATAACTAAAGGATAAAACTAATGAATTTTTCAGAGAACCCAGAGAATAGGTACACTCCTTAATGTAGAGCCTTTCTGAAGACACCTCAAGGACACCAGTTACCTTTGGGTCGTCTGGAGGGTCATACTGAACAATCCAGTCAACTTCTGGAATATCAAGCCCTCTTGCTGCCACGTCTGTACACAGCAATATTCCTGTATCTGCATTGCAGAACTGGAAAAATGTGGTTGTGCGCTTGTTTTGCTTCTGCCTCCCCTAGAAAAAAGCCCACAAAATAAAAAATATCCATTACAGTTGGAACTTGGAGACTGTTTCTGGGGAGTTTGGATGTAGAACCCTCATACTATGGAGTTACTATGTCACCTTACTTTATTTTAAGCTCACTCACTCCCTGGCCTATGTCTCACTTCCCCACTGGACTAAAAGCCCCAAGGATGATAGCGCCTCTTTTATAATCCTTGTTCTTTCAAAATGGGATCAATTGCCCATAGTGACTGAACTATGTTTAGAGGAGACAGCATAACCTCAATCTCACAATCTACAGAACATCAGAAACATAACCCGTTTTTAACAGATTCATCATAATCACTTACATGGATGGCCAAGACAGGCAAATCAATGTAGTTCAGCAACTCATAGTGGTATTTCACTGATTTACAGGATGAAAAGAAGACCATTAGCTTCTTCTTTCGGTTCTTTTTAAGGAATGTAAAGAGCAGAAGGAATCTCTTTTCAGAGGGGCAAACAACATAACCCTACAAATGGTTCAAGTGAACAAAGATAAATTAATCAGACATTTCAGTTTCATAAACCAACAAAACTTGACAGTACTGATAAACCTAATATAAATGCTTTCATGTCTTACCTATAGCATTTTACATTCTAAATGACCAACCAAAGTTTTTTTTAAGCTTTGTCCAGTAACAGGCAATGTTTTATTTGTCAAAATATTCACTCTTAAAAATGGTAGGCTTTTTTCCCTGCTGTAGTTTTTTTCCTTTCAATTCTCCACCCCATCAGGATTCTGGGCAAGTATGCCCCTAGCAGGTTTTTTCAGATTGAGGTGCTGGACTTGAATTCTGGTTAGTCATGTGAGACTGGGCTTCTTCTGTGCAGCACTTAACCACTGCGCTTCAAGGCCGGCCCTTAAAGTTTCAGGTTCTAATTTTAATCAACCCAGTTTGAATTTCTATCACCTCATTTCTATTCTTTCACAGCTATACGCCCAGAAGCCAGTCTTCTTCACTGCCTGCCTCATCTCACATCTTTCTGAAATAAGTTACTAAGAACATTTTTCTTACTACATTTAAATTAATAGCAGAGCTAATGATGTCTCCCATGTGACAAGCAGTATCAACAGAATAAAAGAATCAAATTAACTGGAGTTTATGGTATTTTATATTCGAAGAGCCACAGACCCAATACCCAAGTTCACTGCATCTGAATTAAAGTACATTAATCCATTTGCTTACTGGATGATTCTCCACACAATTATAAGTCAATATCAAATATGATTCTTGAAGTTTTAAGTAACAGAAAAAAAGTACCTGCTCAAGACCATCCACTGTTGCATTAGCTTTATCATCATCAACACCAACATACAATGGCTCCTTTTTCAGAGAAATTCTTGCCAAATCTTCCACCTTGCGAGTTTGTGTAGCAGAAAAGAGCATGGTCTGTCTGCGTACTGAAACAATCATAAAAATAACCAAAATTGGGGACAGAAGGTGGGATATCACTACAGATTCTAGAGGGTAATGAGGACGTATCATGAACAACTGTAGGTCTATAAATTTGACAACTTAGATAAAATGGCCAAATCCTTTGAAACACAAACTATTAAAGTAATTCAAGAAGAGAAAACCTGAATAGCTTTGTATTAAAGAAACTTGTAGTTAAAATGTTTATATAAGGAAAACCCGAAGTCCAAATGGATTTGTTGGTAAATTCTATTAATCAAGCATTTAAGAAAGAAATTATCACTCCTATACAAACTCCAGAAAGATCAAAGAGGAAAGATTCAACTTCCCAGATCATTCTCTAAAGCCAGCATATACCAAAATGTGACAATGACACCAAAAAAAAAAAAAAAAAAAAAAGATGGGGCCAAACACTTTAA